TCCCATATTATGGGTTGTCTTTTCACTTTCTTGATTCTGTCCTTTGATGTACAAAGGTTTTTAATTTTTATGAATCAATTAATCTAGCTTTTTCCTTTGGTGCTTGTACTTTTGGTGTCATATTAAGAAACCTAATCCAGTGTCAAATAACTCTATAAAGATAGTTTTACAGTTTCAGCTCTTACATTTAAATCTGTGATCCATTTTAAGGTAATTTTTGCATCCGCTATAAAGTCGGTGTCAAATTCATTCTTTCTCATGTGAATATCCAGCTGTCCCAGCATCATTTATTGAAAAGACTATTCTTTCCCAATGTATTGCATTATTTTGATATCCTTGTTGAAAATCAATTGACCATAGATGCATGGGTTTAGTTCTGAACTTTTAATTCCATTCCATTGATCGATATGTACTTACATGAGCACCACATTGTCTTGATTACTATGGCTTTGTCATGAGGTTTGAAATGGGGAAGTGTAGTCCTCTGACTTGGTTCTTTTTTCTTAAGTTTATTTTGGCTATTTTGGATCCCTTGCATTTCCATATGAGTTATAGGATCAGCTTATCAATTTCTACAGGACAGGCAAATGGAATTTGATAGAGATTATATTGCATCTATAAATCAACCTGGAGAGTATTGCCATCTTAACAATGTTAGGTCTTTAAATCCAGTAACACAGGATGTCTTTCCATTTACTTAGGTTTTCTTTCATTTCTTTTAATGATGTTTTGTAGTTATAGTATATAACAGGTGCTCCATTTTATTTTTCAAGCTTCCAACATATCTATAGTAGCTCCCCTGAATTTATTTTTTCTCTTTGATTTTTTCTTTCACAATTTCGATTTCTTCATCTTTTTGCTCTATACTCTGGAAGTATTGAGAAGGTCTTATAGTTTACTAATTCAGTTTTCAGCAGTATCCATTTTTTCTATTAACTGCTTCCATAGTTTTTTCAACTTAAATAGTCATTTACTGTTTAATTTCCAACAACATTCTGGTTTTTAGATTGCTTCATTTTCACAACCTGCTTGTTACTCTTTAAATTTCACTAAGAACATGAGCAAGATTTTTAAAAAAGTTTTGTCTTATTTCCTGCATTAACTCCATTTTAGTGGGTGATATTTGCTCTCATTTGGTCCTCTTCCTTCAAATGGTAGATTCTCTTCTTATGATGGGTGATTTTTTTTATCTGCTCATATTTATAAGTGAAGATCTAGGTCATTCAGCATTGGTAACTGGCATCCAATCTGGAATTAGAGAGACCTTTGTTCGGTTCCCCACAGTGTATCTTTCCCTCTGATGAAGATGGTGGTAGGTTGGTTTTCCTTTCCAGTGAATTGGCTTTGAGTGGGAAAGTAGTAGCACCCTTTCTTGTAGAAGTTGAATTCTATTTTTTTTTTTTTTTTTTTGAGACAGAGTCTCGCTCTGTCACCCAGGCTGGAGTGCAGTGGCACAATCTCGGCTCACTGCAAGCTCCACCTCCCGGGTTCATGCCATTCTCCTGCCTCAGCCTCCCGAGTAGCTGGGACTACAGGGGACTGCCACCACGCCTGGCTAATTTTTTTGTATTTTCAGTAGAGACGGGGTTTCACCGTGTTAGCCAGGATGGTCTCGATCTGACCTTGTGATCTGCCTGCCTCAGCCTCCCAAAGTGCTGGGATTACAGGCGTGAGCCACCACACCTGGCCAGAAGGCGAATTCTGATGATAATACACGAGTGTACTGAGCCCCTAAGCCTCAGATCTTAAATTGAGAGAAAGGGAAACACAGTGAGGAAGCAAAGAAATCAAGTATTTGCAGCTTTGCCCAGGAAAGAACTTTGGGTATTATTACTAGCACATGGAACTCATAGGAAGAGAATAGTCTACTAAGTGTCTAAGGAAATTGTAAGGTCAAATCAGCTATAAACCTGGCCTTCAAAATACCTTACATATAGGCCGGGAGTTGTGGCTTATGCCTATAATCCCAGCACTTAGGGAGGTAGAGACTGGAGGATCGCTTGAGCCCAAAAGTTTGAGACCTGCCTGGGCAATATAGTGAGACCCCATTCTCCACAAGAAGGAAAAACAAACAAAAACAATCAAAAAACAAAACAAAATCCTTAAGTATGAAAGAACCCTCAGGACTCCAAACTTATACCAGCAGGAAATGTGCTGCGAAAACTGTGACATCTCGGAAGGGCTTACTTCCCAGTGTGCACTTCAGATATGGTCACGGAGAATAATGAACAAGGAAGAATATTCCAGAGTGTGGAGCCAAGGACCACAGAAATAAATCAAAATGGTGTTCATCCTTGAGAGCAGAACCAGGAGGTAATCATAGAACTTCCTCCACTGCCAAGGCAAAGGATCGTCACAGTAACTACTCAGGATTCTGCCATTTATGTATGAACTCTGCTGGGAGTCTCATATTTTTCACTAAACTTAGGGTTTTATAGAAACACTTGGGAATCACTGTTATGGGAGAGAGTGGAGGGATGCACAGGCAGTGATCACAGTCAACACTGAATAGTGTTCCAGGCTGGGGGCGGTGGCTCACACCTGTAATCCCAGCACTTTGGGAGGCCGAGGCAGGCAGATCACCAGAGGTCAGGAGTTTGAGACCAGCCTGCCCAACATGGTGAAACCCTGTCTCTACTAAAAATACAAAAAATTTGCCAGGCATGGTGGTATACACCTGTAGTCCCAGCTACTTGGGAGGCTGAGGCAGGAGAATTGCTTGAACGTGGGAGGCAGAGGTTGCAGTGAGCCAAGTTCATGCCACTGCACTCTAGCCTGGGTGACAAGAGCGAAACTCTGTCTCAAAAAAAAAAAAAAAAAAAAAAGTTTTAGGTACTAATGGCATTATTTTTTTTTTTTTTTTTTTTAAATGATGCATTAGTACCCGAAAACCTTTTTTTTTTTTTTTTTTTTTGAGATGTAATCTCAGTCTGTCACCAGGCTGGAGTGCAGTGGTGTGATCTTGGTTCACTGCAACCTCTGCCTCCCGGGTTCAAGCTATTCTTCTGCCTCAGCCTCCCAAGTAGCTGGGACTACAGATGTGCACCACCATGCCTGGCTAATTTTTGTATTTTTAGTAGAGTCCGGGTTTCACCATGTTGGTCAGGATGGTCTCCATCTCTTGACCTCATGATCCGCCCGCCTGGGCCTCCCAAAGTGCTGTGATTACAGGCATGACCCGCTACACCTTGCCTAATGCACCATCTGAATCCACATAGCCCCTCCCTGAATTCTATACTATTATGATGGAGTCAAGTAGCTTGGTCAGGTTTACATAATAGGTAAGTCTTAGAGCCAGGATTCAAAACTATGGGACCTATCTTTAGAATATTCACTCTGAACCCTATCATCTTTTATAATTATGGAGGTCTACTGGGCATGATGAGGGACATAGAAATCCCAAAGGGAAGGCAAGGCATATAAACGAATTCAGGACAAAGAAGTGTGAAATGTTTTTGTTTTTGTGTTTTTTTTGGGACAGAATTTTATTCTTATTGCCCAGGCTGGAGTGCAATGGCGCAATCTTGGCTCGCTCCAAGCTCCACCTCCAGGACACAAGCCATTCTCCTGCCTCAGCCTCCCAAGTAGCTGCGATTACAGGTGTGCACCACCAACACCTAGCTAATTTTGCATTTTTAGTAGAGATGGGGTTTCACCATGTTGGTCAGGCTGGTCTCGAACTCCTGACCTCAAGTGTTCCACCTGCCTCGGCCTCCAAAGGGCTGGGATTACAGGTGTGAGCCACTGCACCTGGCTGGGAGTTTGTTGTCTAATGAAGATGACATTGAACTCTCTTCAATATACCAGGATATATAGATTACTCTCACTTTTACCTTTATTAGGGACTTGCCTTGTTTACTGATAAATCACCACCACTACTGGTATATTATGCCATCTAACTCACAGTAGGTGCTCAATATCTGTTGAATGGATGAAGAATCAATACCAAAGTCCTGTAATATTAGACTAAGGTCCTTTAGTGACTGCCAGATTTGCTTTCACATTTTTAGGGTCTAGTGTACTTGGTGCTCAACAAATGGCCCTTGAACTAAACAGAGAGAAAACTGCACTGGTGGTTTTACTTTAAAGCTGCTCATCTTTCAGTTTCCTTATCTTTAAATTGGAAGGTGTTCTGCTTCTGCCCAACCCCCACACACTCTACAGACCTAGGCCTTGTGATGGTTGAATTTTCCAAAAGATTCTCACCTGCTTTAACTTCCTATGAGCTTAGTTTATATTCACCAGGTGAACTTGCAATTTCAGGTTTCTACAGTACTGTCTTTTCCACGTGTATGGCCAGTTCTCGTGACGAGTTTACTAAGTGACTTTGGATCCTTTTTAACTATTGCTAATTATCTGCACCTTTCTGTTGTAGTTATTTTAAAGCCCGCGCGCGCGCGCACACACACACACACACACACCGCTATTGCTAATTATCTGCACCTTTCTGTTGTAGTTATTTTAAAGCCCGCGCACGCACGCGCGCACACACACACACACACACACACACCGCTATTGCTAATTATCTGCACCTTTTTGTTGTAGTTATTTTAAAGCCCGCGCACGCACACACACACACACACACACCGCTATTGCTAATTATCTGCACCTTTCTGTTGTAGTTATTTTAAAGCCCGCGCACGCACGCGCGCACACACACTCACTCACACTTGAGTCAGGGTCTCTCTCACTGTCACCCAGGCTAAAAGCGCTGGGAATACAGACATGAGCCACCGCGTGGGGCCAAAAACATACGGATTTTATTTACTAAACCTGTATTGTGTGCATGACCCAGAATTGTGAGAGTACAGCAATGACTGAGAAAGCCATGTTTCCCACCCTTGTGGCACTTAACAATGTTTCTATGTGTTTTTAAAGGCCCAACAACAGGGATTCAATTGTAAATTAAAAATATTTCAGCTCCTTAACCCCCGTAAGGTACAAAACATGATTGAAAAAAAAAGACAGCTATGCCTTCCGAGTGGAGGAGGGAAAGGACAAACCTCGAACAAATCATTTATCTTGTTAGTCACAGCTTAGCGATGCCTTGAGTTATTTTCCGGTGATTCCAAATTTCCAGTCCATTCCCTCTGCATAGATCAAAAGTGACAGGAAAGAAAAAAATGTATTTCGGATACGGCAAAAAAGAAAAATGCAGGACAAGCAAACAAAAAGTACTGGGACATCGTATGAGAACTACTTTAATTGACAATGTCTTTAAATGGTACCTAACACTTGACACTGATTCCAACCCACCCGGACCTGGGCACCACGGCTGCCTCCCCACTCCCACGCACACGGGGAGCTCTCCCGGGCTGTACTGCACCAAAGGCACTCAAAATACATCAGCCTTACCTTACCTAGATTCTTCCACCACATCTAGCATGGAGCTGCTGCTTCCAGAGGTGTAGTCGCCTATCTGTGGCAACAATTAGTTTTAAAAATGGAGCTGCATCTCTAATAACAAAAGTCGCCAGCTGTGAAAAGCGGAGCGAAATCTCTCTACCGGGACGTAGCATCTCTCGAGAACATTTTCCCCGCAGTCAAGGCCCAGGGCCAGCTGGACGCCGCTGCCCTGGGGTGGAGCCGTCCCCGTGGTCCCGGGAGGCTCCCGACGAGCAGGGGCCCGGGGCCGCAGGGCGTGCTACAGGAGGTGCAAAAGTCGGCTTGGGCCGGAGCTCCCGGGTTTGTTTGGTTTTGTCCGCTCCCTGCCCCCACCCTACCCGCTTTATGCAAAAGGCCAAGGGTTTCCGAGCCACCACTGCCCAGGCCGAGTTCACGCTTGGGGCTCTTCAGCCGCCGTCCAGTGAACAGAGAAAGCAATCGCGCAGAGGCGAGAGCACGCTGAATGAACGCGGGCTCCGGGGGAAATAATTTCCTCCTGACTTCGCGCGTCAGCACACTGGGGCGCAGCCCTCTTTCACAGAAGACCCCCCCGCACACCCCCCTGTACACTCCCGCCTCCGCACTCCACAGGGACCGCACGTTCGTCAGTGCGGCGGGGTTTGGGAATGGAGGCGTGAGGACCGCGCACCGAGGGCTCCACAAGCTGGGCGGGGGGCGTCGTTGGAGGGGGTGGGGAAGAAATGCGCGCCCGCCACTCTCACGGAGGGCGAGGGACCCCCAAAAGCCACTCGCGGGCCCCGAGGCAGCGGGAAGGCGAGAGGCCGGGCGGGGGGAGGGGGCGCGGGGGTCCCAGCCGCGGAGGCCAGGGCCGGCGGGAGGGGCAGCACCTGAGGAATCCGCCTCCGGCTGCGGCGGCCGCCGCCTCGCTCCGCCCCGGGGAACTGAGCGCGCGGACCGCGCGCCTGCCAGAGAGACGCCAGCCGCCGGCGGCGCTAGCACCTCGGAGGCGGGCGACCGGAGCAGCGGAGCGCAGCGCGGCGCAGGGAACGGCACTGGGGTTGGGGAGACCAGCCCGGCCGAGTCGAGGGCCACCCCCGGTCCTCTGCCCTCGCGCCCCGCCAGGGCCAGGTGAGCGGCCGCGGGGACGCCGGGGCGCGGGCGGGGGGTGAGAGGTCGCGAACCGGGCGCAGGAGCTCGCCTGTGACCGGCAGGAGCTGCCCTTTGGCGGGCTGGACGCCCTGGCCGCGCGGGGAAGCGCCGCGGCGGACTTTTCCGGAGGGATGGGAAGCGCAGCGGGGGTGTGAGCGGAGCGCGTGCGGGTGGCGAGGGAGCGCCAGTGCCAGCCTGGGGGCCGCGCCCGCCCTCCCTGCAGCCTCGCGTCGCCCACCGAAGGGACCCGGCCGTGCTGTCCGCGCCCAGAGGCCGAAGGCCTGTCACCGGGCTCTACTCGCTGCCTTTGTGGCGGGAGCGAGGCGGCCCGGGGGTGGGACGAGGGAGCTGCGGCGCGCCGAGCAGCGCGGGGGGCCCGGGGCAGAGGCGGCGAGGGGCGCCCGGTCCGTCTCCCCGAGCCCAGGGGCAGTGAGGGGGTGCCGGGCAGGCGGGCGGGCGACAGGTAGGGCGTCGCGGAGGTGGCGGGGAGAGGATGGATGGCGCTCAGCCTGGGAAAGTTGAGAGCGTCCAGAGGTGGCTGGGCGCTCGCTCGGTGTCTGTGGGTTTTTTTCCTCCACACCAAATGTCCCTTCGTCACAAGCGGGCGCGCGTGTCTTCCGGCCAGCGTGTCCATTTTTCTGTGCATGGCTCAGGACCACTCTTACTCCGAATGAGACACAAAGAGTTGTGTTGACAGCTGACCCTGACACAAGCAGACAGCGAGTGAGGTGCGCCCTGGCCGGGGAGGGTGAGGGAGACTCGTTAAAGGAAATCCATTCCCGCCGTCCCTCTTCCCAGATCCATTAAAAGGAAATTACATGTGGAGATTCAGTGCGTGGGGTTTCTCAGTTACGTGAGTCCAAGGAACGTCCCCGAACGCGACTCATCTGCCTGGAACGGCCGCTACCTCTAACCGAGGCTGCGGGTCCTGGAGAAACTCCTCAGTCTTGCCCCTTTCTCTGGTGAACGTGACGGTTCCAAGGTCCTAATACTCCCCACGCGCCCCTCTGGCCCTGACTGAGAAGATAGAAACCACATTTTAATTTTTGCTTTTCATACCGTAAGGTGTTTTTTTTTTTTTTTTTTTTTTTTTAATCCCCCGCCCTCCCCGTCCCGCCTCGAGGCGGGAATCCCTGCTTAACTCACATTTTTAAACCTAGCCATTTAAATACAGGGAAGAGCTTTCCCACAGAAGGTTTTTGAACTCAATCCCCCTTAATAAAACCTCTCATTCATCTATATGTTTTTAGACTTTAAATCCTGGAATTCTGCTTTTGAGCGTTGTGACTGTGGTGGTTCTTTGCTGAAATTTTCTGGGAGGTTTTATGAATGATACTGAAAAATTAAAAGAGAAAAAAATTAGTTGAGTATTTAGTAATACAATTACATGCATACAGGTATGTATTTCAAGAGGAAAATGTTTAATGAATGAATACTGAAAAGTAATATAAGTAGGGTAAAACATTTCAAACAACAGTGAAAAGTATACAGTGTAAATTAAGCCCTCTCTCCTCCCCTCCATACAAGCCTTCATCTTTCTCAGAGGCAGCCACTGTTGCACGTTTTTTGTATATCTTTCCGTAAGTCTATTAAAATGGAATTACATTATAGATTGATATATACAAGAGATTGAATATAAGACTGAACTGTATATTCGTGGTGATGACTATTAACTTGATACCCACGCATGATGACATGAGATTATTTAGCCAAATGTGGACAATTATTACCTTGAATATCAATTAGAGGGCTAAAAATCTTAGAACAGTATGCAGTGGAAAGCAAAACTATTAAACTAGTATCTTCTCCCGCACACACACCAGTTTCCCTACACTGGTTTTTGCAATCTTTGTTGAATTTTTTCTCCATTTTGGAATTCTTTATGAAGTGGAGAATGAGAACTGTAGTAGTTTACTTTGTCTACTGCAGTGTGTATCTGAAAACACTGAAAGGACGTGTATATACTCCCATTGACATGACATAATAGAAAGATGTTAGTGGTAAAGGATCAATACGAAGGCCAAGTTTAAGATGTTTGGTTGCATCTCTTAATTCTGGTCCTGGATTTGCCACAAACCCGCCACACAACGTAACTTTTTTTGGAGATACGTTGTTTCCCACTCAAATAAAGGAATTGAACTAATTGATTTTTAAGGGTCCTTCGAGCTCCAGAGTTCTGTGATTAAAATGGTTGTCCCAAAACTGGCTAAAGATAACCCTTGGACTGTGGATGTTAGAGAGTGGGGTGACAGAAAACATTCCTGAATGTTTTATAATGTCTTATACAAGTAACTTCCTGAATGGTGGATTCATAAAGAGGAAGTTAGAGATGTTTAAACTATATCCCTGCTCTTATGAGTTTGATGTCATAGGAGAACAGCTACTCTCCTTACCCACAGAATGTGTGTTTACGTTGCTGATAGAGGCCAAACACCGGGCTGAGGGCCTCTGCATGTCACCTTGTGTGGCTAAGGAGAGTGAATTCCCACAGCTCAGGGTGCCATTTTTAGGAAAATTACTCTTACCAAACTCTTCTTTTTGGTCAAGTGGAAGTAAACTTTACCTACTTGAAAGAGACTTGACATAATTAATACTTTTCTGAAGTGTTTAGATTATGAACATCCCTTATAGCTAAGATATTTTAGTTACTTGATAAATATTCACTTAGGGAGTATGTTCTTATTAGGAAACTTCTAATTTGTAAAGTACCTGCAGCCTTTGGGCTAATGATGGGGACAGGAGTTGAGGAGTGATTGTAAAGTTGTGAAAGTAAAAATAATTAGCTGATTTTAGTCACTATGTATGGTCTAAATTAAGGGATTTCAAAGGTACCCTGTAAGCGGTGATTGTCAAAAGTGTTGTTGTTAAGATAGAGACCTCATACTGAAAGCTAAAACTTCCTAAAAGCACCGCCGATGAAACATATGTAATTATTTTGAGTAAGTCTAATATAAATGAATAATAAATTCTCTTTAGGAGTTGTTTGGGATCCTAAGAATAAGAACTAGAGGAATATATTTGTAAGGGTACTTAGAGTAATGTTGATGAACAAAGCTGACAGAAACAAAAGAAAATTCAATACCAGTAGTGAAACTCCTCAAAAAGGTAATAGTTTTTTTTCCAGCGCCCTTCCCAATCTTGCCATATGAATGAATATTTTTACAAATGTTTTATATTGCAGATAATTTTCACCCTGATTTTTTATAAACATTTTTTCGATAGCTTCCTGTTATTTATAATAATTTTATAAAAGTTTATGCAATGGACGTTCATTATTAACTTAAACCTTTTTATTTTTGATTTTCCAGCATAAAAAACATAATGCCTATTGTTATTGTTATTATTTTTTTTTTTTTGAGATGGAGTCTTGCTCTGTCGCCCAGACTGGAGTGCAGTGGCGCAATCTCCACTCGCTGCGAGCTCCACCACCTGGGTTCACGCCATTCTTCTGCCTCAGCCTCCTCAGCAGCTGTGACTACAGGCACCCACCACCACACCCGGCTAAATTTTTGTATTTTTAATAGAGATGGGGTTTCACTGTGGTAGCCAGGATGGTCTGGATCTCCTGACCTAGTGATCTGCCCGCCTCAGCCTCCCAAAGTGCTGGGATTACAGGCATGAGCTACCATGCCCCGCCTATAATGCCTATTCTTATACAAGTAACTTTATTTCTTTTCTTCTTTTTCCCTTAACTTCCTTAGGATCATTTTTTTCTGGAGGGATAGTATAATGTAGTTGTAAGTGGGTGGGTTCTAAAATTAGAGGTTCTAGGTTTAAACCTAGCTCCATTACTCATTGGCAATATTGGACAAGTAATTTATTTTCTCAGAACTTTAGCTTACTAAGATGTAAAATGGGTGATACTAATAGTTCTTTAAAGTTAAGATAAAAAGCAATAACACATGAAACACATAAATGTTAGCTCTTATTTTTGTTAGGAAATTTCTAGATTTACAGTAATTTCCACATTACTTTCTAAAAGGACTATATAAATTTATACTGTTATTAACAATCTATGTGTGTGCTTATGTTAAAACATATTTTTGTTACTAATTTGATCAGTGTAACATTTTATACCTTTCTTTTGATTTGCATTTCTTTGGTCTTATACAAAGTGAGGGATCGTTTTTTCTGCCATATTGCTGCAGTTTTCCAAACTGAGTGATAGAAGTTTCATTACCTCAGTCAGTTTGAGCTGGACCAGAAGGAGTGGACATATAGGAATGGTCAGTTACACCACTCATGAATAGTGAACCAAATTTTCCAATAGACTTTTTTCAAACTAATTGTAGTTTTCTTGTATTTTCAGTCTATGGTAATATTTACTAGCTATTACTATTATTATTTTGACTCTTAGAAAAGTAGCTGTTAACTAAGATATAAACAATATTTAAGTGAAAATGCAAGCTTCCTTGAAGAGCTGATTTATAGTTAGTATTATTTTGATCACAGTTTGCTGGAATTTTACTAGGAATGCTTCTCAAAACTCGAGGAAA